TATGTACCATAATTACAGTTCTCTGGTTGCAAGATAAAGTGCCGAAACCCTAACTACATTCATATAACAATCATGTCTTCATAGATACACTTGTTTAAGATTTAGAGAGATCTTCCTCAAGCCACTAAACATCATCATGTGAGAAGGTGTGCTTACTGTTCATGATGACTTGACAAAAATCAACAAATAACAGTAAACATAACAAAGGAATCGCTAACGCAGAATATCAGAACATACATATTGTTTTGCAAGGATTGTAAACGAAATGGCTATGTCAAAATGCCACAGCATAGGTGTGTATTAGCACACCATTCCTAACAAAGACCAACTTCGCTCATGCTTGATTAACACATTCAAATGTCATCATCACCTTTCAGTGATTTCTTTGTAAACAATTTTTGCAATACACACTGCTGCATCCCCCGAGGCAGTACACTACACATCACTACGTCCATACAAATGAGGTTAAATGTAGATCTAATGTTTGTTGCGATGGATATCACATCTTTTCATAGGACATGAATCACCATCTCATAAATGGGTATGATACAACCCCCCTGCTGTATTGTATCCATTCTCCTAAAGCTACATTTCAACATGATAGCACATAGTGATAGCTTAGGATAGTATAAACCATAAATGATATTTCATGCTGCCTACACAGCCCTTCCGTGATATACAATGTTATGCCTTTCTTAACTGCAACGCATTACAATAGTGGTGTTCCTTTTTGTGAGTCTATCGTAAATTTTTTCAATGTACTAGTATATCCTGATCTACCCCAAAAAACTTATAAAGATATGAAGATTTCCATTGGGCTTGATACAAGCTTCACATAATATAATATAGCCTTTTGTACTGCTTCCAAGTAATTCCTAGTGTAAGATCTGACAACTTAAAATATGACCCTTCTCGAGTGTCCAAGTGCTACAAACTAAGTATCTATGTACGTTTATCAGAACACTGTAAATGTATGTAATAGCAATACTGTACTATGAGAGTTGTGCTGTATCTGGTGTCGTTTCTCTTGTCTTGCACAGCAGACAATTTTCCTTTAAATGCCAATCTACACATTTTAACTGTCCCACATGAGATACATGTACAGAATACATTTTCCTTCATACTCAGAAACAGTGACTCTTGTGTGTCTATCAAAATGGGGAAATGGTTGGTAGGGTGGTACATATGGATACATTGCTTCTCCTGTAGTTCTCCAACTGGCCAATACTGTATATCAAGACCATCTGCATATGTGGACCATTTCTAATGTTGTCAACAGCTTGAGGAAAGCATATACACATGTATATATTTTTTTCTGTACATCTACGATACATGCAAATTAAATACAGGTGAAGTCAAGCGGAAAGCATCGTTCATAATCCGTAAGATTGTTGACAACATTGAAAATCCATGCCACATGCTTGGAGTTAGACACGGTTTGGGACTGAAGAAAGAATCTAACAACAAATGGTTGGCATCACATCTTTGTGTACAACAAGCCTCCCCAACTTCCAATATTAGCACAAGTAACTCTCAAGAGTCCACTTGTTCCCTTGTATGGGAAACACTGCCTCTTGCAATGACATCACCACTCAGACATTTTAAGTTGCAACGCCATATGATACTGAAAAGGGGGAGGGGGGCAACAACAACATGTACTTTCACTTTCGGCTACAGCAAATTATGAGCTTGGGTAAAATGAACATTTTGATTACCAAGTGAATAATTTGAATGTTTTTTTCCATAAATGTCACATATATAGGGAATAAATGATTACATAATCAGGAACATGATGTATACACTATATAATACAGTAGTAGTTTAAGTGATTCGGAGTACCTTATACATCCATAATTTCGCATGTGATTCACACAATGTTAATGTAAAAGAGAACATAGAAACACTGTCATAACATTTAAGATGAATTATCATGAATATGAAGTCAAGTCCCCTTAAAGAGATGGCTGTAGTTCTAGGTGTATATTTCTGGAGCAAATCAGTTTTTTCTTCGTTTCTTCAACCGCATGAAGTTGTACAGTTCCCACGGACGCCCTCCACTCGAAATAAAATTAGTCCACAAACTTTCCTCTACCTTCCCCTGCTTCCTGTGAGATGTTACGTCATGTATATCCTGTATAGCATAGTTTAGAGACACGCCAGAGTTTTCTTTCTTCCCCTATAGTGTAGTTAAACACACATAATTTTTTTGTTAAAGATAACAGACTGAAAAGCACGACAGTCTACGATCACTGTCGTCAAAGCACGTGGTCCTCTTCTGGCACTTCTGCCCAGCTCTGTTCTACGATGGCCTGGACCTTTTTCTCGTATTCGCGCTTGTTCTCTTGATAAAGTTGCGCCGCCACGGAGTTGGCCGGCGAGTTGGGGTTGGGTTCGTCCAGCAGAGACTGGATGGAGGTTAGAATGGCGGAAACGTCGTAAGTCGGCGACCAGCGATTCTGCAAGATGTCGAGACATATTTTGCCGTCGGCGTAGATGTTGGGGTGGAACATTTTGGAGACGAAGCGCACGGTCGGGGGTTTGTTGGGGTACTCTTCTGTGAACTCCAAGGTGAGCTTGAAGGTTCCGTCTTCGAATGGTGTATCCTCGGGACCGAAGATGACGGCATTCCACAGCATGATGTTGTTGTCTGTCGGCGCGGCGCTCACCCCGCAGGGAGGGTCCTCCTGCAGCCGCTTAAAGTCCCTCATGAGTCTCCGGCGTGCTGGGGTCGACATGGCGGGTTCACGGCGGGGCTAGAACGTCCCACAAGCGCACAAAACCGGGCCGAAAATCGGCAAAATTTCCCGAAAATTCTATCTGTTGACAAGGACGTAACGTCCTCACTGCGCCTGCGCACAATGGCGGGATGTGACGCAATCCGCCGCAGTGCCGCATGGGAAGGGCGTGTCAAAGGTCATGGATGAACACAACAGGTGAGGCCACTCAGGTAAACATTTAAACATTTCTCTTCTTTTTGTCAATGCTAGGTCTCTCAATCATGCTTTCATACGATCTAAAGGGAAGGTAGGATAACCTATTAACGGAGAAATGTCGATTACCATTTAAAAAGTATGCATGTCAACCAAAAGACTGTCTGAATGAGCTCTGTGAAAGTGTAAATACTCAAGGACCCTAATAATTATCTCCAATCAGACGTTGGATTGACAGTAATTAAGCTGTCTGAAAATCCAGACAGGTACCCCAAGGCATGATTTCAGAGATTATCCAAAGGAGAGAGTGGAGGTGGTTGAGAGACCATTAATTTTGAGAGGCCAAAACATTGACAGATTGCCTGTCAGTGATCACTATATTATAAAGTGATCTCCAACTTGAAGGTTTTTCAATGAACTTTCACTTTCAGTGAATGCTATAATCACCATAGCCTTGATGCCAGACCCATGCTTGATCCAGCATGCCTAGTTAATAACTGGGAGAGGTGCAGCAGGGGGGCCTAGCATGCTATGGGTCTGGCATCCAGGCTAGTGATTATAGCATTCGCTGCAAAGTGAAAGTTTCCAGGGCCTACACATGCTGGCACCCTGCAGGTTAACGGTTATAACATCATAGTCAGCATGTTGGCAGAACATTTTTACCTACCACTTGCTGGCCGTGACATCATGGCAATCACTCGTATATATGCTACTGTGCAATCCTAAGCATGACAGTGCTAAGCAATTAGTTAAAAAAGAAGGTTGCAAAACCCAGCACGAATTCAGAGACTAGTACTGTAACATGTTCAGGACAAAAGATATGAAAACTGGAAGCTCTACTGCAGTACCAAGGTCAGCCACCAGGAGGCCCAAATTTGACCTTGACCTCTGTCATCCTATGATCTACCCACATACCAAATATCACAATCCATAGAGGCCGTTTTAAGTTATGCTGACCACAAGTATGCCGAAACACACACATACACACACACACACACACACACAGACCAAAAACAATACCTACATTTTCATGTAGGTAATTTAATATTTCATATATCTCTCTGAAGACGTGCTGAGGAACAGCCCGGAGGAGAGCCATGCCTCCTAAGAAGTGCAATCAGACAAAGGTGATGAGGAACCACCGAGAACATCACAAACCTCCCGAGACTGCCACCATGAACTCTAACAACGACTCAAAGAGCTCCGATCTCGGCATCCAAGTCAAGAAGAGGAAAACGACCATCGCGACCCTGGCAGAAGCGGAGGAAGAGAGCATGCTAACGTGGCTGAGAGAACACCCCGAGTTGTACAACAAGAAGGCAAAGGAGTATAAGAATTTGCGGAGGAAGGAGACACTGTGGCAGGAGAAGGCGTCGGACATGGGAAGGAGCGTGGAGCATCTTCAGACTTGGTACAGGAGCATGAGGACACGGATGGCCAGGCTGCTGAAGAATAAGTCTGTGGAAGAACTGACTGACAGGGACACGTGGGTGATGGAGAACTTTACTTTCCTCCGGAAGCACATCGAAGCGGTTCACAGAGGGAGGGGACCAATGAAAAGAGTGAGTATCTTCGAATTCATCTTCCTACAATCCTAGGCTGGTTACCAGAACTATATTATAGTTCCCGAGTCCTACATCCTCTCCACAAATTGATGTAGGACTCGGGAGCTGTAATAGGTCTGTTAAATAACCAGGCTATCATCTTGCTACTGTTGTAAAATTCGACTTGTACAAATTATTATCATATTTCAATGAAAGAAGAGTGGGTAGCTTAATTTTCCTTCAGTTGAAAATTTCTCATGCGACATTTTTTTGTTCCTAGGCCTAATTGTATTGGATGTCTTTAATGAAATTGTACATTTTCAGATTGCTCAGGGACCGGGTCCTCCAGTGAGCCAGGGTACGCTGGACCCAGTCACAAACCACATCCTGCTGATGCAGCAGCAGCTGATGGAGCGGCTGCAGCCGCAGGGCGACCAGGAGAGGCTGGGGTTCGCCGAGTGGGTCCGGGCGACGCTGGTCAGCCTGCAGCACGACGTGTGGCGACGCGCCCAACGGGACATCATCGACGTCCTCCACCGCGCCATACGGGAGAGTGACGCCGCGCAACAACCGTCCGACACCAGTAGTCCGAAACTGTCCACTGCTCCTAGTACGAGTACAGGATCCACAGTACCGCCATCATTAACCGCGAACCCCGGAACCTCCTTCGACCGGTACAACCGGCTTCCTTCTAGTCAGCAAATGTGGCAGACGCCGATAAACCAGTGGACATCCCAGGTTCAGAACAGCAGCAGTTCCTTCACGTGAACTTCCTGTGTTCTCCTTCTAAGATTGAGTCTTTAGTTTAATAAGTGCAATTTGTGCCCGTCCCACGAAATCTTACTTGCTAATTTGGACTGGTGGCAAGATTTCTTTCCAAATCAACCTACAGCGTCAAAACCATCATGCAAGGAACAATACAAGGAGGACGAAAGAGGAATAGACAATGTAAGAGAAGAAAGGATAACATCAAAGAATGGACAGGCATGAAACATGCAAATAAAAATTACGTAAATGGAGAAGGATGTGCTGTATGGTGATGGAGAAACATTATACATTTATTCCATTGCAAAAGGGATGTAGGGAGACCCTAGCACACCAAGTCATTGAGGGAGTGACTATCCCAGACATTTCTACAATATGTACGTGTACTGAAAGTTTCAGTCAAAATAGTGTCATCAGTGCAGACTGTGTCATGTAGTGACAGTGTTTTATTCTGTCCAATGCTTTTATCCATTTTCGTAATAACTTATCTGTAATTGCATTTTTGTTGTAGATTTAAAGTATTTATTGTGAAGGGTTTTAATGAATAAAGAAGTGAGTTTTGAAATTTTGTTAACTCTGTTGTCTTTTTAATCATACACTGTGTACTGTTACATTATGAAACATCAAATTAATACCTACAGTTACATTTTGTATTCATTTGGTACAGCCTTCCTTTAGTCTTTTGATATATTACCAATAATCCTGCCAAGTTTCTTTTCTCTCAGTCTATTCTGTTAATTAATGAACTGCCATTTAAGGCCACACCTATTTGATTTGTTGAATCATATTGAAGCATTTTGGGCTATAATAGGATGCCTAGACCTGGGTTTTTTTCCCTTCAGATTTTTTCTGAAAAAAATCCGAGAACCAACAAATTAAATTGGTGTGGCCTTATCAAGATGCATGATGGAGGCATTTGTAGGATATTTATTATTTCTGTCACATCCCATGTTTTCTTTTGTTTTCTAGCATTGCAAGAACTTCCCGTGTCCAGAAAAGTACTCATGTCCTGACGACTAAATGAAAGGAAATGGAGTAAAGCTGTCGAAATCAGTGGAAGAACTTAGCCCAACTGTTCATTTAAGTTCATTTGAGCTAAGCTTATTAAACAGCTTTAGAGTTGCCGCCTGCACAACTTCCAGCTAAATCCATGGATGGCAGTTTTTGATGGTGAAACAGGGTTATAGCTGTTACTGAAAATATGATTTTGACGCAATGCAGGACAAAACCCAGTGGAAGGTTAGCTCAACAGTACGTTTAAGTTCGGCAACTGTAAAGCATCAAATTGCTTTACAGTTGCCGACTGCCCAACATCAAGCCAAAGCTGTGGACGGCAGTTTTTGATGGTGAAACATGGTTATAGCTGTTGCTGAAAATTTGATTTTGACACAATGGTCAAAAACAACTTGCTGGACAAAAACACTTGGTCCAGTAGAAGAGTAGTTCAACTGTTCATTTAAGCTCATTTGAGCTAAACTGGTTGAAGATCACTTTTCACAAGAGTTACTATAAGAAACGTTTGACGGACAGTTTTGATGGTGAAACATCTTGTACACATTTGTAGCTGTAATAACTCGCATTTGATTCTGACACACAATGCAGGACAAAAACACTAAATATGTTGTCGGAAGTCTGAAAAAGTTTGATAATGTCACTCAGAAGTTCTATCAGCTCAGTAGCGACTGTCTTCAGAACAGCCCAGCACCAAGTCCGGACCAGTATAACCTGTTCACCCCCATTCTACCGTTGGCACATCCCATCCACAGACAGACATACTCCCAAGTGGAAATATTCCATGCTTGTCAACACCATTTTTCCGTAGGAAACGTGGACGGAACCTGTTCC